AAAGCCTATGTTTTTTCATACAAAGTTCGTCCCCGAACGCCGATGATCTACCTCTGCGGTGCGACGGGTGCGAGACGGTCTCGTGTGTGGTCGGATCATGGTCGGATATTCTCGGATCATGGTCGGATCGGTTCCGCATTGTAAATGGGGTTTCAAGTGTTTTTCGTGCATGTGCGGTCGACAGAATTCCATTGTGATTTGCAACTGTAGGATCGTTCCCGCAATGTAAATGGGATTGCAAGTGGTGCTGGTGGATGAGTTGCAGATGGAATTCCATTGTGATTTGCAACTCTAGGATCGTTCCCTCACTGCAAATGGGATTGCAAGTGGTGCTGGTGGATGAGTTGCCGATGGAGTTTTGAAGGAAGTCTCGCACGAAATGCGTTTTTGGCGCTAGTGATTTTCCTTCTAAAAATCCTTTTAAAAAGTGCTTCAAAATCGTCTTTTTTTCGCTCTGGCGTCGAGATCCGGTTTTGGAGCTGCAATTTCCGACCCAGTTGCGCGTATTTCTATTGTGTTTTGCAACTCAGTCTTTGCAGATCGCATTGTAATGGCTGCGTCAAGGTTGCTTGGTCCCACGGCTGCATGCGTAATACTATTGTCTTTTGCAGCTGGACTTCGTAAATCGTATTGGAGTGGCTGCATGAAGGCTGCGACAGTGATTTGTCAGCAGATTTTCTCCATTTTGGCGCTAGTGATTTTCCTTCTAAAAATCTTTTAAAAAGTGCTTCAAAATCGTCTTTTTTTCGCTCTGGCGTCGAGATCCGGTTTTGGAGCTACAATTTCCGACGCCATTGCGCGTAGTTCTCTTGTGCTTTGCAACTCAGTCTCCGCAGATCGCATTGGAATGGCTGCGTCAAGGTTGCTTCTTGCTTTGGCTGCATGCGTAATGTCTTTTGCAGCTGGATCTCGTAAATCGTCTTGGACTGGCTGCATGAAGGCTGCGAAATGGATTTGTTAGCAGATTTTTCTCCATTTTGGCGCTAGTGTTTTTTTGTTGCACGTAGGTTTAGAGCAGTGTGAAGTGTGGGGCGTGAAGAGTGCAGTGTGAAGTGTGCAGTGTGAAGGAAGCAGTGGGAAGTGAGAAGTGTGAAGTGTGGAGTGTGAAGTGTGAAGTGTGAAGTTTCAGTTTGGAGTGCGAAGAGCGCAGTGTGAAGTGTGAAGTGTGAAGTGTGAGGTTTGGAGTGTGAAGGAAGCAGTGTGAAGTGTGAAGTGTGGAGTGTGAAGTTTGAAGTTTGGAGTGCGAAGAGTGCAGTGTGGAGTGTGGAGTGTGAAGACTTTGCTTCGTCTCTCGCTGAAAAAATCAAACGGTTGTCGAGGGAAGGACACGGTCGGGACAGGGTGTCTTTGAACTATAGGTCATTTATGTTTGGGAAACTTCCGCCGCCGGCTTGCCCGGGTCTATGTTAATATATATATATATATCGATTGCCCTTGTTCCAAAGAGGAATGGACAACATTTCAACATGTTTGAAGTGTATAATTGGCCATAGCTCGGATTTTCCTCCCGGATTCCCGCGGAGAACGACACTTTCTGTGGTCTTTTGCCAACTTGTAAGGGAATACATGGTGCTAACCCATCGAATCATGCTTCAATCAAGGTGACAAGATTTGCATCATCGTCCACCCCAAAAATCCGCCCACACCGCTTTGGCGGTGAAGGCGTGCTTATTGGGGGGCAACAGCAACACTAAATGGTCAATGACATTTGTTAATATAGCAGTCGCTATATCAGCTTTAGCTGGGGGGGGGGGCCCAAAAACGGTTTCGCACCGAGACCAGAATACGGTGGGGTTTTCGACATTTTTCGAGGATTTTTGGGTGTCTGAGCGCAAGAGGGTATTGAAATGGAATTTTGGGTCATTTTGGTAGCTTTCCGGCAATGGAAAAACGGCCAAAAATGAAAAAAAACATTGTACATAGCAAGATTTTGCAGGGTTTTTGGATGCCAGAGCATTGAAAACACTGCAAAAACAAGTGGTTTGGACTGACGTTATAGCAAAAAACGTGTAAATTACCGTATGCTTGACTGGAAACATTACAAAAACACTGTCAAAAGCAATGTTTTGGAAGGATTTACTGCCTTTATGGCAAAAAACATGTAAATTACCGTCTGTTTGACTGGAAACATTGGAAAAACACTGTCAAAAACAATGTTTTGGAAGGATTTCTTATATATATGTTGGAGTTGGCTACCGGCATTGGCACATGGAAAAATTGCAGAAAACACTGTAAATAGCGGTATTTTCAACGGTTGGGGAGATAAGGGAATTGGAAGCATTGTAGAACATGATGTTTTCGACCGGTTTTATGGCGACAAAAGTGTAAAGTACCGTGCTTTGAAGGAAACCATTGCAAAAACATGGAAACACATTCAAAGAACACGGGATTTGGGGGACTATCTAGGCGTCGTTGTCTAGCTATTTGAAATTCCGCAGCTTGGAGAGCCTCCAAGGGAGGGAAAAGTGAAAATTCCATAGCTTGGGAAGTTGTCACGGCGGGGAAAAGTGAAAATTCCCTAGCTTGGGAAGCCCCCACGGGGGGGAAAAGTGAAAATTCCCTAGCTTGGGGAACCCCCACGGGGGGGAAAAGTGAAAATTCCCTAGCTTGGGGAGCCCCCACGGGGGGGGAAAGTGAAAATTCCCTAGCTTGGGGAGCCCCCACGGGGGGGAAAAGTGAAAATTCCCTAGCTTGGGGAGCCCCCACGGGGGGGAAAAGTGAAAATTCCCTAGCTTGGGGAGCCCCCACGGGGGGGGAAGTGAAAATTCTTAGCTTGGGGAGCCCCCACGGGGGAAAACCACCCTTAGCCCCTCTCACGGACCGAAATAAACTTGCGGTGTGGGCGGCCACCCCACGCGAAGCGGGGTGAATATTATTAACATATTCTAATACACCTACCATCACCTTGCCGAAATATCTCTAGCTATGGCAATCAGGGTGGGAGCACTATGATCTCGTTCTCGGTCCAGTCCTTCTTGGCGTTGGGATCCTGCCATGAAAATCCATGAAACAGGGAGAAGGAACAGCCGGGGACAGCTGATCTTTGGTCTTCTCAAGTGTTTTTGATGAAAAAGATGCCTTTGTTTCGTGAAAAGATCCTGAAGGACTCCATCAGTTTTGGCTGGATCGGCTTACATGCAGCAGTCATCCGTAGCTCAAGCCGAATGGATTGTGTTTTCTTCAATGAACCAACGGCAGCATGAAATGTCTAATGCCTTGGCGAGCTTGGGTTCCAGCGGTTCGATGACCCATGGAATCATGTTTCTGCTCCAACAGCCCAACAGCCCAACAGCGACATCGAAAAAACACCATCAAATGCTTTGAAAACAAGAATATCTAATGACTCAGCTGTGAATCATTCCCCGAAAAAACACATTTGATTCGTTTGATTGTCTTTCTGTTTTTCTTACGCCTTACAGGCGCAATCCCTTTTTCGAGACCATGACTCTCGAGACTAACACAGACCCGCACAGAAATGCTCAGCAACATTTTGATAAACATGATAATGGCCAAAACTATCTCCCCATTTGTAGATTCATTGAGTTTTTCCAGCTACAAATGGCTATTCAAAAACCCATTTAAAAGCTATATTCGTCGTGACACGGGTATCATCAGGTATAGCCATTCCCCAAGCATGTTAATAAATTTATTTACCAGTAGCACCACCAAGTCCTGGTCTTTTGCAGAAAGCTCTGCAATGGCTCCCAGCTTTGCCACCGCCTTGCGGAGATCCACTACGCATTGGATGCTGAAATCCCAGGTTTTGATACCCCAAGACTTGTTGACCTGACCCAAGTCATCCAAAACATATGATCACCAGGTGATCTTTTTGCAGGTAAAAATCCCAAGTGCTGAAGCTAAAATTCCAGAGTTCTGATGGGTTCATCTCTCGTTTTTTACTATTTTCCATATAAAGTAAGTTAAGTAGATAAGTATATTAGTAATATATAAATAATAGATATATCATACAGTACATCCCTATTCTTGTAGCCAAAATGCCAGCCTCTTCTTGCTTCATCTCCCATTTTCCTCATCCTCTCCATCGCTGCCTTCTCCAGCAGGGCGAACTCGTTGTCCTCTTCGTCTTTGTCCTCCTTGGAAAATGTGCTGGGAAGTGTCTGGTCGAAGTATACTAAGTAGACATGAAGATTCACTTAGGAGAAAAATATGACCTAAGAAATTTACCCTCTGGTTATGACTAACATAGCCATGGTATAGATGGCCCATAGAAATAGATGGTTTACCGTTATTAATAGCATGGTGGATCTTTCCATGGCGAAATGTTAGTCATAACCTAAGAATTTTATATCAGAAACCATCTTCATCCGGAATATGAGATGACCGTCAGATCGTTTTTTGGGGAATGACCGAAGACAAGAATTTCACCAGAAAATTTTGGGAATGACCTACTTGATCTGTTTCGGGATGACCTATATGACCTGAGAACTTGTATAGAATATTAATTGATGGTTATGAAAATGATTGGAAGAATACAATAAAATATTCAGATGAACTTCGGAAGATGAACTTAGACTTTTGTTGGATGATTAAATGTTGTCTTGAAATGGTTGGTAAAGGTTCGACCTTAATTTGGGAAAAATGAAGTCAAAATGTTCGGGATATTGGTGGCTACATACCAAACATGTCCAAACAATGACGCGTGGATCAAACCGGACTCAAGCCAATCAAGCCAACATCATGGATTTGGCATGCAATGTGACCCCCAAAAGATGGGATGAAATTCGTCAAGCTGTGGCTTCTCCCGGCAGCTCGGGACAGCTCCGAGGCCCCCTGCCACGTCTTCATCTTCACGCTCCTCCTCGTCCTCGTCGTCACTGGGTGGCTCCTCCTCCACGTCACCATGGGATACCAAGTTCACTGGGGGAAAACCACACAAATCTGACATGAACTTTGCTCATACAACCCACCGGGGACTTTATTCCAACCCATTCATGGCCAAGGTCCCAAAGTCTGCACCCTTTGAGGGATCCCACAGCCGCCTGCAAGGCGTTGGTGTACTTGAAGATCTGTGCACATCGATGGCCTGACAAGACCCATCAACTGTGGACATAAATCAGCAAATGGGTATGGGTTGGGCAATTGGGATACCAATGCTTTTGAGGCCATTAAACAATCAATTTTGGGACTCACTGATTTTGACCCGTATCCATCATATATAATCATTGCTTTTTAACCGTGTTTGATGTTTAAATCCCACAAATACCCGAATATACAGTATTGGACCCATACCCCACAAAAAACTTGGTTGATCCAAAAGTGTCAGTAAATCTCCCAATTTCACCGAAATTGCCCAGAAAATGGCACATCCCCCCAATTTCCATCCAATTTCCCAACCACTTGGGAAAAGTCCCCATTCGGACCCCGCACGCACCACGTCCAACATCCTCTCCAGCGGCAGCAGCGCCACTGTAGAGATGTTCTCCGTCAGAACGATGCCTGGATTTTCGCGGGATGCGCTGGGCGTGGGGCGGTCTCGAACAGTAAAGGGGGAATTGAATGGATCATGAACTACAGTAAACTCAGTAAGCCATATTGGGTTTCATTGAAACTTATGCCCAACTAGAATATACCAGATATACTCGGATATGCCCAACAATCATGATGGAAAGAAGAAGTGGTTCGTAACGAGAGTTTGTAAGCGCCGTAACTATCACGAATTGAGGTTCTCATATCATTCAAGCCTCCAATGAATAGCTGAGGTAGCCACCCCCATGGCCAAGGAACTGAAGGCCACCATAACCAGGATGATGAACATGATGAGACTGATGCCTCAATCAGCGGAATTTCAAGGGCCAACATGCAAAACTATGCAAAACTCGAGTCGCCAGTTCTATGGCCAACTGATACCTCGGCCCAATCGATGCATCTAACCAGCCTGAAACCCTGCCCTCACGAAACTCTTGGGACTGGAGCCTTGTCATGAGACAACTGAAAGAGATGAAACCAAAAAGAGATCTCCAGAACTTCAGAACTTCAGAGCCCACATGGACGGAGAAAATGCTGCACATCCGAATAGAGATCCATGGCTTGGTGCCGTCCCCTCTGACATCTTCTTCTCCGTGTTCGCCCCAAGGCTTTCCCAACTTATCCCAGAGCAGCAGCACCATGAAGGTAGCACCTTCATCATCATCATCACCACCACCACCGGCCGCCACCACCACCACAAAACAATTGGTGCTTCAAGCCATAAACAGCATCATCACCCAGGACAGCCAGATCGTATAGCACCTTCCCCATCCCCAGCGTCCAAGGCACCCATCAACGCTTCCAAGCGCTTCGGTTCCGCCAAGTCGAAGAGCAAATCCATCTGCCCCTGGCCTCGATGAGTTTCGACCCATGGCTACTTACCCACCATGGCTATGGGTCAAAAGTTGAGGGTCTATGGGACCACAGATTCTTGTATATGTTTAGATATGTTTAGTATTAAGCATCTAGTTTGTGGGGCACCCAATTTTGATCCATACCCATAGAACTAGTTCATGATCTGCAGAATGACACTTGGAATTTGTCGATTGCCAGATTACCAGCGGTACATCGGAAGGAGACACGGGATTGATGCTTCAGCTCAATGGGGTGACTTTCTCCAGAATTCACCAGTGCCCCAGCTGACCAAAATGGCAGCTTCTAGCGCAAGTCTGAAACCCGGTTTTTGCAAGATGAGTTTTCCATGGTTTGGGGTGCAAGAGTTTTAGATCCTATCCTAAAACCCACAATATAATATATATACATAGTTCCAACAGATTTGATTTGATTTGATTCTGGTTAAATTTTGGTCCTCCAACCTCTACCTTTACAAACCACACAAAAATCTTTACATCTAATAGCCTGCAGATATTAAGTCCAATTGAATCCATATAAATCCATAACATATACAGTATATCCCATATTTCTCGGTTAAATCCCCCCATCATTTCCGCTGGTCCCAGCTGCTGGTGGCCATCACGAACTCACGCCGCGCAGGCGCGGCCCAGTGGCCCTCCACCTCGAACCTGCCAGCAGGGAACCTGTTTCTGGATGGATTTGAAGGGAAAAACTACAAATAATTGAGATGAACTGGGAAAGTCTACAAAATCTACAGGAAACATGTATTTTTTTGACAAAAAATACGAAACTGGCTTGTTTTCTAACAATGAAAGGGGAAATCGCCCCTTTTTGCTAGTTTTTCGAGGGATTGATCAAGTTGTGATGTGGTTTGGGCGCACTTGACGGTGTCGTCCGTCGCGCCACAGGCCAGCAACTCCTACGGCTCGATTCAAAATGGGATGGCGGATAGCTCGGAGAACCACAATTTTGATGGCAGTTTTTGGGAAAAATGAGGTTTCAAACCTTGGGATTTGGAGGTACATTTTTAGATGACAAGCCGTGACAAGCCCACCTCTTTCGATCAGCTGCTGTGATTCGAAGTGGAAATGAAGAGACTGTGGAATGCTCAAAGGTGTCTCAACCCAACAAGTTGGCCCCAAGTTTGTGGATCTTCAAGAGCTTGAGGCCAAAAACAATACCGCTACTGCCGAACCCCCATGTCAGTTTTCCCAAATGGAACACATCTCCCATCTGGGTGAAGCAGATTTAAATAGTCAATCCAAAGAGACATTCTCCATCTGAAGTCCAATCGACCATTCTCATTATTTTCAAGCCCCGATCCTTTATCTATTGCAGCACTATCCCCCTTTTGGGCAGTCCTCTGAATTGAGGTCAGCCCCTGTCTTTCGGTAGCAGATCAGGAAGGGCCCATAGTTCGCCTCGGCTCTTTCTGAAATCCCATTATTCTTGGGCCAAATGGCCAACAGAACATACTCAAAAATACAAGAAAACATGTTCAGACCCCAAATGCAAAAAATGGAGCCTGAAATGGGTGATGTGGGGTTAATCTCCAAAAGCCATGGGAGATTGGTTTGTTGACAGCTGCCACAATGGGTACCATCCAGTGGCCAATGGAAATTCCATGCCCAGTGAATTTTCAAGTGTCTGATGGTGCTGATCACTTCAAACCCCCCAGTGACGAACTACCTGAAAAATGGATTGGATATGATCGGATGGTCTTAATGTATCCATTTCCATGATGATTTTCACATATGTTCACCATTCTTTTTGGAGGGACGGGCATGATGCACAGCGCACTGCACACAAGAACAATACTGAAGCAAATAAAAGCTGACCGTAGAGTAGAACTTCGAGAGATCCCTGGCAGGTGGAGCAACCCTGACTGCGAGGTTGGAGTCAAATTCAGTGGGATGAAACTGATTGGTGCAAATAGTATCAGAAACATTCAGAAACCTGAGGCCATGAAAGACTATAAGGACCACCTGTGCTCGGGAAATCCTCCCCGGCCTCAGCAGCTGCTGGATCACCGCCATCTCGCCCCGGGCGCCCTCAGCGTAGCGCTGGACGTCCGGCGCCAGGAAGCTGGTCCAGGCGGTCAGCGACTCCTCCATCTCGGGATATTCGAAGATGCTCAGCGACCTCGCCATGGATGGGTCGGAGGGGGGATGGGATGCACTGGGATGCACCTTGGGTGCCCTCCGAAAAAAACATGGTTGGCTGTGGGTCAACGCAAGAGACTATCCGGAAGATTAGGTTAGGGATGCTTGATCACAAACTGATGCACAATTGATGATTTTTTCCACACCTAGAACCCTTTCTTCAGTGGTGGCAAAATAACTGATCTTGGCACCCCGAAACTCCAATAGTCTTAAGTTTGAAAGATTTTAAAGGACATGTTCCCCAACTTGAGCTCCGGGATATCCCCCAATTGGCCGCAGCAGGACATAACTGCCATAGCCAACCGAGAGACGGCAGCACCACGGCCACACAAATCACCACGAAGGCCACGCGGATGGAGAGGACGTCCGACCTCGGCGAAGATACCAAGAGGGGAAGGTCATGAAATGAGGGAATTCCACGAATTCCACCATCATTTCCACCAGAATTCTCCATAATATCTATAATTTCTGGAGGGGAACTATACCATGTTCCAACTTTTTTTGGGAATTCAGAATCTGAGAACGTTCTGATTTTGATTGGGGGGATGAAGCAGGACCGGATGTTTACGGCAAAATTAACGATGGAATGATAAGACTTGTGCGCAAAACATGGTCCGGGCAGGCCATCTTCAGAACATCTTCAGACTAGGAGGCCAAGTAGTCCATCAAAACATCTCATCATACATCAAGTGTAACTTACAGTGTAACTCACTGTAACTCATCAACTTCCTGGAGCTGTGCCCCTGGAGCCCCATCCCAACCCTCCATTTGTTGGGCCCTGCCACAATTTGTTGGAGATCACCTTCGCCATCCGAACCTCAGAACGTCCGTGCTGGGAATATCTGGATTGAACATGATTGAACTGGATTGAAGCATAAAATGAGACAGACATAGACAAAATAGGTACAGTAATGACCCTTAAAGACTGCTTGCCCCGATCAAGGGGATGATTAGTCACCAAGAACAAGAACAGGAAGTCCATCTGTTTCACTTAAATGTTGACCAGTGCCCATCAACTGAATCAACTGACCCCTTTTGACCGCCAAAGACACGTTTCCGGAGCCTTCTTCCTCGGATCCCGAGACGAAGCGCACGATCTTCGCTACCTGGGCATAGCAGTTATCTTATCAGCTACTTTCGCTTTAGAAAAAAATTAGGGGAAATCAGGAAAAAGCAGTTCTGTCTGCTCTACAGGCAGCTATCTGCCACCATCTGCCACCTATCTCCTCATCAGCTGCCGAGCCACTCGGCTCAAACGCCCTGCACGGGCGCCCAAGCGCGCAGCGCGCGCCGCTCGCATCACGATGACCTTAGCGAGCTGGAAATATGGCAAACAATAGGGATTTAATGGGATATATAATGGAGATAGAATGGAATTTAAGCCATCATATGGCTGTACATAATAGTCTGTTCATCCGTGCAACTCAACAAATAGGCTGGAAAATCGGCTTTTGTTCAGATATTTTGCCTGAAAACCTGTTCACATCTGTTTACTGAAATCTCTGTGCAGGTGGAGGGAGCTGCATTTAATGTAAATGGGATTTCATTTCAGATGGGTCCACTACTGCAAACACATTGTGAAAATGTTCAGAGCTTTTCCACGTTCGGAATCAACCATCTGAGGTGTGGGGGGTGTCGCAGGAATGATCTCGGAATATTGAGAACGGATGATTATTTTATTTGTAAACCAATCATCCAATCATAACCAAGCAAATGTTGCTAATTCTGGATCATTGTGGTAGATTTCCAACTGTTCATTGGATGATTTTACCATTTCCCATTGTGCCTTGGCCAAATGCCCGTCTCAAACCAAGAGACTCCCCCACCACTGCTGGAGGAGGTGTGCAATCTGGCCAAATGAGGCGATTTTTGGTTCAAAAGCTCACAAAAAAGCAATCACCATAAATCCACTGAAGAATGGATAAAAATGGTGGATTTTAGGACAGAAAGCTTAAAAGCCTTGCTTTTTGTTCAGGTTTCTCAAGTTGAAGGAACTGCCAAACTGCAAAGAGCACATGTCTGAAGTTTCCTACCGCCGTAGATCTCGACCAACGTAAAACGAACCCTACCACACTACCGCGCCTTTCGATGGACATAGCATCAGGGCCACACATGTAGGAAATGTCGAAGACCATCCTGGCAGGGACTCGGCTTTGTTGCAGCTTGACATTCAGCGCTAGCGCCAAACAGGCCGGCTGAGCGAGAAGGTTCCGATCAAGTCCATATAAAAGAAGAAACTCAGAGGATAAGTCCTGCACAGATTACCAACAAACTTTGGGGCGTGAACCAAAAAATGACAATTTCGGCAGTGAAAAGTTTCAAGGCCACCTCTTTAATGGCTGAGCTGCAACTCTCTTTCAGTCGCAGCTTGGTGGTGAATCCAAAAACATCAACCAGAAAGGATTGCCACAATTTGCAGGTACTGGAATTCCAATGTTTGTCTGGCAAGGCAACAGCCTTGAGCACGTTTCAAAAGGGAGAGTCTCCACATAGGCCAAACGTCACTTGCTCCTGTCAGAAAAGGCATTCAGGACGAACTCGAAAGCAAAGAAGCCAAAGGCCACCTGAAGGTAAACTTCCCCAGCAGGGCGATTCGTGTGGCTCCTTGTTACCTCTTGCTGAAGTAGTCTCTAAGCATGCACCCAACAATCCTTCCAAAACATCAGGTTCTGCTACCAGTAAAATCGTTGCAATTTTTCCCCCAATCAGATAGATGATCTCCTTTCAGGACACCATAGCTGCAGATTGCATCCAAGCCACCGTTAGGATGATGTCGCAAAGGGCATTCCCCGGCACCTTGAGGTAACACGCCATTGAGGGCTCAAGGGGAGGCCCAAATTGAATTTACCATGCCTCCCAGGTGAAGTATATTCGCATTACCACACCTGGATTAGAACGACAGAAACTTGGAAACAAATACAGTTCCTTCCAAGTGAGCCAATGATCAATGGATTGGTTTAAGGGAACTACAAAATGAACCAAATCTGGCTCCAGAGCTTGTCGCATGGCTGCTGCCCCGGAACGCTCAAGAAGGCGAACAAATCACCGCAGAAGAGCGCGACGAGGAGGCTCAGAAAGGAACCTTACAGCTGCAGAAACCCCATCACAATTTGGCTTCAGGAAGGAGGCCTTCGTGACATCTGGTTTAATCCATGCCCAGATGGTTGTTTGCCATGCCAAACCCTCTAAGATCTCTTTTTTGGTGCTTAAGAATGATAAAGCCGATGCCCCATGCCATCCTTTAGCGATATATAAATTTGCTCAAACCCTCCACCTGCGCTTGCCAGTACCAGCTCCATTTGTTGCAAGGAACAGCACGACACCGCGCTACCGCTCATGATGCTGCGCAGGTGAACTACCTGACAAGGGTAGGAGGGCTACTGAGCAAGATGCCCCCAGCAGCCATGCAAAAATCAAAGGGATTTAAAGGATATTTAGCGAACTAGCCATAAATATATGTAAATGTCATGTAGATATAAGATGATTTAAGATATGGATATACACTAAGTGGTATTGTTATACAAACAACCAATTGATTGTTTGGTACCTGTGGATTCTCCTTCGCCTGGAATGCAACAGTCGAGCCAAGTCAGGTCCATAATCGCCCTGGTGCCCAACCCAAGTCATCCAACCCAGATTCCCCACCTGCGGCTTTTGGTACCACTTGGATCGATACAAGAAGTTCCTGAGGCCATCACGCAGGTCCATGGATCGAAGGACAAGAACCCATGGGACAATGTGACATTCAGCAGGCTGGTCATTGGATCTAACTTTTGCCATGTTTTTTTGTGTCTATCTTTATGGTTGGCATTCCTGGCTTGTCACCCACTTTTGCCACAGCTTCTCAGACCATGTTCAGGATCTGACTCGGTCATGTTCTGGGTTCCATTTACTCAGAGACTTGGTGATGGCAACCACGACGGTTTGTAGCCTCTTAGTTTGCCCTTGAATAGCATGTCCAAACCCACGACGGCGTTTGCATTTTAAAAATTTTAATGTAACTCTGATATTATTATTTGCACGTTTATATAATTTATATATACCCTACCATAAAAAATATATATCTGAGAATGGATATACGGATATACCACCCCATATGAGGTTTGGATCTGAAACCCTTCCACTTCCTTGAAACCTCCCACCGAACTCTTCGGGCAAGGTGCCGAACACTCGGTCGCTCCATCAGTTCCTGCAGCCAGCTCGGCAATTTCTCAGAAGAGTTTCTGAAACTTTTGTAGCGATCATGAAAAATATGTAGGATGATTTTGATGATGGTTTGCTTTAAACTTTAAATTTGATCTTGGCATGATCAAAATATATCAAAATCCTCCTCACAATGATTGATGGTTTATGATTGATGATTTGATAAGTGTGATGATGTCTTTCATTCTGTGAGAGGACAAGCAAGTCGACGACTACCAGCCGGCTGCTAACTCATGCCTGCTCGTCGTTGCACTTGTAGGTTGTTGCGATTGGTTTAAATTAACTTGCTCTGCAAATGCTGATTCGCATCAAAACACCAAATGACATTTTTTTCCATATTGCAATAACACCAACCCGGAACCCTCTCCTGCATGGTAATCACATTTTTTAGATCGCCATGCGCAAAGTGCACGAAGTTTTGTCGTGCATCAAAGCCTCCAGGCCATCACCAAAAGCCACAGCATCGAACCGTGACGTGGTTTACAGTCACTGTCTTGTTAGACATTCCTGAAATCGCGTGCAAACATGAGATCCATTTTCGTTGTCCAACATTCTAAGATTTGGACTGGCCATCCATGTCATAGCATCTGACTTCTATGCCCTCTGACCCTGATAGGGCGCCAGCCTTTTTCGAGTGTCTTCTTCTTGGTGTCGTGGGTGATGATTTGGTACAGGGTCGAAGGCCTGAACCAATTGCGCCCAAGGAATTTGAAAGCCACTGCCAAGCCGATTAAACGATTAAACTATATGTATATATATATATGTATTAAACTAACATGTCTTGAAGGTTTCTTGTGATGGCATGCCAAACTTCTGCATATCTTACTGGGAATTCTCATTCTGATTTCACTGGGAATTTGTGGGTTTAAAACCGGATGGTTTAAAAACGGATTCATATCATCATATATCATATATCCCTCCAATTCCAACCACTTCCCCAACCCCTCGCCCCATCCGTCTGTTCGCGCACCCATTGAGGTTCAGGTCATTGCCCCGGGCGTTGGAGCCACCAGTGGACTCGTGCAGCAGCGGGCTCCGCTGGCTGGAAGCCACCCTGTGTCAACGTTATGAGGGATCCACGATGCACCTGGATGGTCTATTTCATGGAAAATCCTTTTAAAAAAAATGGATGAAATATATTGAAATATGAAATGGATGAGAACTGGGGGTCCATGACTTAGGAAACCTCCACTTCTCCTGTATACTTACAGTAAGTCTGGATACAACGGTTCACATCACTGCAGCCCATATGCACGAACCCAAGGCAACTACCATGACCTGGTACCACAGCATCGGTATTGAAAACCGAGATGCGACGACTCATAGAGGTTGTCCTGGTTTTTGTATCTTCCAAAGGCCGCATTAAAGGCCATGGCTACTGCTGGTGAAACGACTTGGGGATGGGTCAGGCCAGGCGTGAGTCCTGCTTGTGGTAGGGTGGAGTTGCACAAAACTTACATCCAAAAACGCAAGGGACACATTCCAAGCGCCTTGTCAAACCAAATCTATCCAAAGTTTACGTCTTTTCTCTAGCTGCTGCCAGTTGCGGCACAGGGGCAACAGGGTTACACTTCCTTTCTTCATCTCTCTAAGTCGGCATAGTAGAGCCATGGCATGCTTTAGCTATGAATAGCTGGGCAGCATCTGGTCATTTCATCCTGGTTGTTGATCCTGGCTGCTTGTTGGAGGCCGGTGGCCACCCAGCTCCCTTCGACGAAAAGCAGCTGCGGCCAGGTGTTGCATAGTGCAAACTTGAGGTGATGGTCTTCCCATTTTGTCTCTCTCGAAGGATGATATCTGCTTCTAATAGAATGGATATGTATGGACAGTTGGATTCTGACAGAACAATCAACAGCCCCGAAGACGCTTTGCTCCTCATAAAGTCGCAAACTCTTCAGATTCTGAATGGTCAGCTCACGAGGAAATATGCCCTTATTATCTCTCAGGATGGTATCGTCGGAGCACCTCGCAGGAGTTGAGGAGTCAAGGAAGAGCCAAAACAAAAAGATGGCTACCAACCACCAAAAAGATCAAAGCGCCCAAATGGTGGGTTTGGTGGAGAAAGCTGACATCCACATCTATTTTTGTATAGTGTTCAATCCAAGCAATGGAACAAAACCGAGAGCTATTGACTGGGGAGTCATTGACCTACCCCTGCTGGGGCACCTTTCGATGGACACAAGCATCAGGGCCACACCGTGGGAGATGTCGGAGAGTCGCAGACCATCCTGGCAGTTCTGTCACGCTGCTTCCGTTTGCCCATGCGACGGAAGCTGTTTGGAAGCACCCAACGTGTTGGGGCGATGGTTTCCCTGCCAACCCACACAGGCCAACTGAGCGATAAGATTCCAATCAAGTCCATGTAAACAAAAGGAGCTCGAAGGATAAGTCTCATATTGCCAAACCAACACGTCATTCTCTCCTAGTCAATCCCCTCTTGGCTCCTGTCAGAAACTGCATTCAGAACGAGCTCGAAAGTCAAGAAGCCAAAGGCCACCTGACCAGAGAATATGTCTTTTACCTGTGGAGTGAGTGTTGCCGAGCTTGAAGGCAAAACATGATGCCAAAGCATTTCACGCAATTCCCTGGCGCAAATAAGTCTTCCATGTTCAATTTGGGAGATCGGACATCACTTTGAATGTGCTCAAGTAGAGGTCTGTACAGACATTATATTATATTGACCTGTTTTTTTTTGCGAGCTTACGGGTTTATAGGGAATAAGGTCTTCCAAAATGCTTAAGACTGAACCAGGCGGACCGGCAGAACAAATAAGGAATTCCAGATCCAAACTGGTCTTAGAAAAAAAAACTATACCTGACACTTTTGGTAAAAATATTTAAGCAGTCTGAAAAACTTTAGGCCCGACAAACTCCGACGAACTTAACCTTGCGCCCAAAAATTTTCAAACATTTCCTACGTGTGTTTTGACGTTTTCGCCCCTAAAAAGCATGGACAAACAGCGAGTCCGCATTTTTTGGACCAGTTTTTGCACTCTGGCAACAACATTTTCACGTAGCAAATTCGCCCCCGACGAACTCCGAAGAACTCCGGCGAACTCCGTTCCTGGGTCATCTCAGAAACTTGGTTTCCACTTTTTTCTGCTTGGGTCTAACCTACCACAAAACGCCTGAGTGCCAAAGTTCCTTCCCAGCTGCTATCGACAAGGAAGAGGTCAGGGTCATACCTTGTGTTCTAAAAATCCCTTATTCCCAACGAACCACGTTGCTCGCGAAAAAAAAAAAACTATATTGTCCGTTTGAAAAAAATGCAATGCCATTTAATAGGTGGATCTTTGCAACTCCCTCCGGAACGCGGTACCTGAAACGATACAAGTAGCAATTGAAATCGCTTGTTCCAAAAAATGTGTGACACTTCTGACAAGCGTCGATGGGTGTTCCAATGTGGTTGCACAGGTTTGGACAGTTTTTGTCATTTAAGATCATCTATAAATGCAAATAAGGTACGAATTTGGGTGTGATCAAGCTACATACAATACTCACCATGCATGTCTTGAAATGCGCGTCAAGGATTATTCGCATTTCAAAGATTAAACCACTCGTTCGTATTGATTCCATCAGCAGTCCAAACAGGTCTGAGGTCAGCAAGCCTGCCATCACAACAAGCACACCACGTTCTGCCATCCAGCTCCTGCCTGGCTGGTGACTCTCCAGCAGCAGTCTTTCGGGACACCCAATTTTCGGAAAGAAGATAAAGATGTCATTCTTGTTGTGTGTGTGTGTGTGCGTGTGCGTGTGTGCGCATACACTGTTGAGGCACACTGAAGAGGGAACAACATGATCACCTTGTTTCCGTCTTCCCCACGAGAGGTCATTTGTGGACGTTTGTGAAATCAGGTTCTCGAGCTGACCACCGGGAAGCAGAACTGTAGCATTGTAACCCAAAAATGCACCCATGAACAGCGTAAGAATCTTGTTCCAACAGCCATGTTGGGGGCTTCCTGGCACCATCACACCTTGCAGAGCAGCCTTTCTATGTTTTTCAGCATCTCTGCTTGGACCTGGCCGGCAGCAATCTGAGTGCTCACGACGCCTTTGCGCTGATTTGTTTGAACAGGTTCCAAAATCTGAAAAGCAGGTGCAATCAGCGGGGAAATCCAAACTCAAGGTCAATGCACGGAGACGTCCATTTTCACCGGCTCGGCAAATGTAGCATGCAAAGTCTCCGCATCTGCAGCTCTTTTGGGAGTTTTGGAGGATAGCTTTGGACTCTTCTGGCCTTTATGAAGCTCCCTCACATGGAATGGCTATCTGATCTGCGTACAAGATTTGGGGTCTGACTCAAACCCAAGCATTCAAAAGATCAAGGCTTGGCCACTGCACGGAGTGGTGGAGGGGGAGGTTGCGGCTTGTTGTCGGTCTCTTTTGCAGATGATGAGTTTCCTTCCTCTGCCTTCGCCTTCTTGGAAAGTATCTGCTTCCCGTTCTGCATCTGTAGAACTGCTGGCAGCAGACCCCTCAGCTCCACCTGTCAGGTGGAAGATTCTACAGGAAAGATTCAGATGAAAAATAAACTTTGACATATTCATGCATTCCGCTCTATGACTCTATGAAAAGGCACTCACAAAATTCAGTTTTCCCTCACACAAAAAGGCGCCAGCTTCACTGGCCTTGAAGTCGGACAACACTTTCATCTTCTTGCTCAGATCTTCACGTTTCTGAGCCACTGATTCCTCCTCTGCAAAGAGCTTCTGGAGGGTAGTTCGACCCGACTCCTTTCGCCAGACCTCTTCCAGCTTCTCAACAAGCTGCCCGACCAGGCTGAACTTGACGAGTTTGGCAGACATCTCCACGAAGCCTTCAATCATGAGCTTGGTATAGGTGTGCAACGAAACACAGATTTCCAGGACTGCTCGCTTCTGTGGCGATTGTACTGCGTCTTTGCGTAGAAGCACAAACTCTTCCGGTAGCATGTTGCAGAAGCTCTTCTCTCCAGCCAGCTCAATTGTTGATTCATCGGACAAAGAAGCCACAAACTGTGACATCTGCTTGTTGTACAGGTCATATGTGGTAGAAGTCTCCTCCTGGGCTAAAGCCAACCTCTCACAGTCACCTCGAGCTTGGACTCCCAGGTTGTCGATGCAGTCCTCGGCCTTTCCATTCAAAGCTGCGGGGAGAATACCATTGATGTGCGCATATCTTTGAATGACATGCTGCACAACCTTCTGAAGGTGTTCTCTAACATCCCCGACCAAGCTATAGGCACACTCTTTCAAGAGCCCTTCTTCGATGATTTTTTCCTTGATAAGAGCGATGAAAATGTCTGAGTGAGGGCCAATCAAGTTGTCCACGGTGTAGCCTTGTTTTGTGGCCTGCCTTCGTGACACTTCATCGATCATTGCTTTCTCCAACCACTTGGGATTTTTCGAAAGTAACTTCTCTTTGAAGAACTGAACCATTTTAGCAACGACTGGGGAAACTGTGAGGTCTGCGTCAGAACTCTCTCCTTTGATTCTGCTCTCCAAATCCGTTCGGATTTTTCTGATAATCTGATTGAAGAGCATAGCTCGCTCTTCATCAGTCTCCAAGCAGACTGGCAGTTCAGACATTTCCCCTTCCAAGGCATCAATCTTGGCCTGCACCTGTTCCTTGATTGTCGGAAGATGTTTATCAACCAAGGCCTCTTGAAGTTTGGCTATCTTGGCAATCAACCTCTCGATGCCTCGATGCCCCAATTCTCTTTCGGTATCTTCCTCATCCGTTCGCTCTCTGTAAAAACTGTTCTCTCCTTGGCCAAATGATCTTCTCGGCTCCTGCCTTCATTGACGTCATTCTGAGAGGGATTCACCACGCAGTGATAGCCCAGCGCAAGCCGGACATCTGACTCTCGCACCATCCCAACCTGCAAGAGAATAGGAGGTTAGAATATGTTGGAATCGGTGATAAACCCCAAATCCATGTGAAACGCTTGTAGGCTGCAAGGCTGCCCATCTGACCCGCGCCTTCTCAGCTAAATCGCATTCTTCTGCGTTTGCCGCATCATCGCACTTGGTGACAACACCCAAGGTGCGACTGCCATCCGGGTCATACTTCTTCGCCAACTTCAAAGCCTGCCAGGTCCGGTCTGTTCACACATTTTAGCTCTGGATACTTGGCGACAGGAACTACTGGATGCTGATTGACCGAGCAGCACACACTGTTAGATGCATGCGTTCAAGTGCCATGAGTCTATGAGCAAAGGAATTGCAGACTTTCACGCCAGGATCAAGAACATTGAAAATGTCATCTTGTCCTCACTTGCACAAAGAAGAAAAGGTCGGAAGATGGTCAGAACAGGGCCGACCTCGGCGTTACCGAAGTCGGACATGGCTGGTTCAACGCAAAGGACTACCATCTCCTCCCTTTTGATGTACTCTTCTGCCAATCCGGCTGTGACCTGAAGCGAATTGTCTCCTAGAATCTAAAGGTGAAGAACTGAGACTGCGCGAAACATAGAATCGCAAATTCATCTGCTTACAGTGAACACAGCTTACGAATGAAACATGAGCCATCATCCTTGACAACCATTCATTCATTGGCCACTGCCTCATGGATGTCCTCCATCTTGTCGGCGTTGTGCGTGATGCCAGGAAGATCAATCAGACTCAGCTGGGGTCCTTCACGGCGAACCACTCGAACATACAGCGCCTGACAGCGTCCGAAAAGGAAGCAACAAACAGCACAAAAATATGTTCAATCATGTAACATCAAGACATATTTCAATTTATTACAAACTGCAGCTGCAAATCTCTGCATATGATATATGTCATTCAAAACGACCTTTCCTATTTAATTGACAATGTGTACAGTATCTTTACGCTTGCACGGGACAGTGGTCACATGATCTGATCACCAACGAACATCAGCAAATAACTTGGAGAGACAATTCAACACAGGAATGCACCAAAACAAGACACTAAACAAGACACCACACAAGCCTCCTTCGTAATCTGGTTCCCCGTCGCATGCTTCGTAGTGGCCTTTTTGATTTGCTCTTCAACATCCAGCACAGAGCATTTTGTTGCCTTGGTTGCATGGGAGCTCAAACACACTGAGTGGGTCGCGTGGGACTGCCATAAATCTGGTAATTGAAGCAAGAAATGCACTAATTTCCTCAATAAATATTCTCAAACCAAAACCCCCCTTCCTCCCTCGTTGCTATTACTATCTATTACTTACTTACCATTCCCTTCTCCCTTCTCCCTTACTTACTTACCATTCCCTTCTCCCTTCTCCCCTCCATAAATTGACCGCAACAGACCTGAAACGGACACAGAGTGACCGAAAACTTGAAACGGCGAGATCAAAAACGGAAACCCACAAACTTCGAGACAAATTATGTCAACCTAGTGCTCTACGCTTCTGGGACAAAACTTGCGCGCAAATCCGATAGCAAAGGAACATCAGCAAAACTGGGATCCATTGAGACCTCTGCAAATGGCTCTCCCACTGTTGGATCCGAGAGCAGTTGCAGCACGCAAGGCATCCTTGTACAAGTGGTTTGCGATCTCGGAAAACGAATGCCCGAGATGTTTTCCAAGAGCGAGGACTTGCCGGAGGACTGGTCTCCAACAACCACAACTCCAGGAATCGGAATTGATTCTGAATGGCATACGGCTCGGACACGTTCGAACAAACCCAACTTCTTCGAAACCTGCGCCATTGCCTCTGCAAGATGGTCGGTAGGCACCGTGCCTGACGCCTCAGGTCCCATCTCCTGTTTCGAAATCCTGCAGCCAGGGAGTGAGCACGTCTGCAAGAGTTGAGGAGGCGCAAAATGCAATGGTTTCATTGCTTTGGAAGGTTCTGGTCCATTGAAGCCAAACGTTGTCAAACAAAATTCTGGTGTCCTCGCCACATGGCGACTGCGGCGACGCAGGGCAACAGCAGCTCCCAAGAAAGAGAAGGCATATTGGCCTTCAAGGGGATGCATAAAAAACACAAAGTTAGAGCAACAAGGACACACCATCCGTTGAATCTCATGTCCAAATCAGGCCTAGTTGTTTCCAGCTGTTCTGGCCCTGCATCGGAGCACGGCTGCAGCCAACTTTATGCTGTGGAAGATGAAAGCTGCCATGGCCCGCTGACGCAGCAGGTAAGACTTCCATCTCACAGGTGGCACCAGATAACCAACGAGGGAAAGTGGCTAGCTGCAGACGCTCTTCGAACCGCCAGCATGTGCAGCAGAATAGGTTTCAAGTTGAATGTCCAAACCATGCCCTATGGGAAGAACTTTGATACATTGTGGGTATCCAATACCAAGAAAATTCCGCCAGGTTTGACCCACCAAGACACAAAAGAATTTGATTGCTTGCCCACACACTCACAGGCCTTATCTCAGAGTTCAAGGCCCCATGCCGCTGATGAGCTCATTGAGCATGGACAGCATGGGAACCTTGGATTTCCCAAAGACTGCGGCCATGCACCTACTGACTTTGATTTCACAGCTGTTCCCAACTGCCAAATTGCAACTTCTAGGAATGTGCGTTTCAGCCAATTGAACTCCAAGGCATCCCCAACAAAGTAAGAAATCGTTCGCACTGTCGGAACAAACACACTGACAATACTCAACCATGCACGCCCTTGCGCTCGCCTCCCAAGTCTTGGCATTTTGAAGATGTTCCATACCTCCATGATACACGGAGCTATACCGGCAAGAAACATCAAGAAACAGGATCCAAGACGATTTGGCCAACCATCTTGTTCATCAAAATCTCTTGTAAATGTGACCTGAAAGAACTGAGAATTCAACCAATCAAGGGTTGTTTGGCCATACCCAGGGAATCCCCACCCTCGGATACAGCTACCCAGAGCATGATCGCAAAAAAATCAGGATCAGGATCACCTAATCAGGACATACCCACTATAGGCATTCTAAAGCCCTGTCATCCATTTGCGAACTTCAAAGACCGCCTCGGTGCTACTGCTTAGTGTGGATGCAGTGGAATGGACCAGCATGACAGGGTGCACATCTTAACCTACCATCCTCTTCCGGCCTTCTCTCTCAAATGTTTGTTTGTGCAAGAAACTTTTAATAGAAAAACTTGGACAACTCTGCCAATATTGATATTCTTGGAACAATGTCCACTTTCGGCTAAACCCGACTTTGACAGTTCACACCATGTGTTTGCCTGACATGTAACCCTTTCTAGTTACCTGTTCTCAATCTCTGCACCTGCGGCCATAGCTACCACTCCATACAAGAAGTTCCTCAGGGAATCTGTGTCGTGATTGAAGGGGAGAAACGGGCCACCAAAATGAAACGGGAAAAACTTTAAAACCATGAAGTCATCGATAAAATGTTCGGCAAATGCTTGGTGATCTCGTGGATTCATCCATACAAAGAGCTTGATCACCGCTGAGCCGCTCGAGAAGGGTTGAAGCTTTTTCCAACCCATTGGTCATTGGAAGGATGAAATCCAAACAGATTGATCTTACAGGAATCGTATCTAAATTTCCGGGAAAAAGGAGTTGTGGTGCATCGGAGGGACCCAACCAGTTCTCCCCTATCAAGTTTGACCGTGTGTTGCATACTGGCTCTGCAATAATGTTTCCACCACTGGAAAGCGAGTTTGACGGGGAAACCTGGGGCAGGTGCAGGTCCATTTTCACCCTCAAGATTCCTGGTTTGCTATCAAACTTCTTCCACAGCCTCTAGCCCTGCTTGTGTTGTCCACTTGGTCATCACAGAATTGATCACGTCAACCTCTGCTTACAATTTATAACTTGTACATTCGCTGTTGAATCCGGTACAAAAACCCAATCAAGGTGCAAATAAGGAGAAATGATGCATGCCACGCAGTATGATTTAACATGTGCCTGCTCAATATGTCCAGCGCAAGACCTCCCACAGAACTTTTGTGTTGGACGAGGCGCCAAACACTCGGTCGCTGCGTCAGTTCCTGCAGCCAGAAGCTGGGCATCGATGATTTTGGAATATAATTTACCCTCTGGTAAATAAACATAGACCCTGAAAATAACAATTTTTTAATGGAAACTAGTCTTCCAACCCCTATCTGCCAGGGTCTATGTTAATTTACCAGAGGGTAGGTCATAGCATAATATGGCAACCCCTTAAAAGATCGAAAAGTAAAATCCTGTCAATAAAATGGCTGGGCCATGAACTACTATGAAACTGATAGTTGTCAGTTCTCAGGAATGTTGCTAACATGACTAACGTAACTGTCGTTGTTAACATCCATATTTTGAAAAGACCATCAAAAGGCCATGGTTCTTAGTGCGATGAGGGCATCCACCTTTACACCTGCATCTTGTGCTGAAATTACTTGATGTGCGTGCGGACAGGCGTGGCAAAGAAAATATCAAATAACAACAGCGTTGATGATGCCGGTCGTATTCACTCTGTTCAATAGACACAAAGCCCACCCTCAACCCTGTCCTGTACTGTAATCACCGCAATGTTCAGATCGCCGCGCGTCAATGGGGAGGCTTCTAGAATCACCTGAACATGTGATTGACCTTCGCAGTTCTTTGATTTGGACTTCCCAGCCATCCCCAGCTGTCATTGATATATGGGTCAAAATTAGGTGCCTAAAAATTGTCGTCCCCTCATAAATTCCCATCCGAACCCCTCAGGGTGGCGATCTTGGAACAGGGGTGAAGGCTTCAACCAATCGGCCATGGAACTTATCATCCCAGCCAACCTTTGGTGGTTTCTTATGCAAAGAATAAATTGGGAGTCTGGTGATGAGATGTCACTGCAAAGGGATCTTGGTCAGAACTCTGAGGACGGTCATAGGTGACTTTGATGTATATTCTGATCAATTTCTGCTTTTCCACTGGTTGTCTATCTTATATGTCTGTATGGAATTGCTTCTTGTGATGTGTTTTCACTTCATGATATCATTCCGGGGATTCAGACATTTGCACAAGTGAATACGGATCTGTGACACCTGTTTCTTCCCAAAGCGTGAATGTCTCAAGTCCAATGATATTCAAAAATATTCAAAATAGATCAAACTTGCGGTATTACATGTTAAAATATTACAGATATTTATATACTGCATGTATATAATATTATGTATAACCAATTGCCAAATCCTGCGCTTGGATTGGAACTCCTGCCAACATCCTCAGTATCCCCAGCAACTCCAGGGGGCACCCGTTGAAGTTCAGCTCACTGCCCCAAATGATGGCCTCATGTAGCAACGGGCTGCGTTGGTTTACTATGACATCGGTTCCTTCGTAACACTGGTGAGGATGTTATGGGATGTTATGCGAAACTTCTGATATCAGCCGTCACCACCTGTGTCTGGCCCTAAGCAGAGCAAAGGTGTTCATAGCTCTGCGATTTCACATGTCATGTTTTGCTTGATTGGCTAAGAAGTTTACCTTGATGTTCTTTCGTTGGCTCGAAAGTAATGCTGGCTCTCAGACATACTGATCCAATCCATTGGGAAGCAGACACTTCTGGATTTCCGCGATCACCAGGGGCAGAAGCAACCTTAAAGAACCCACGACTTTATCATTTGACGTCTACAACACCATTCCGCTTCCATCAAAAATCTTTGCTGAGTGCAAAACGACCTTTGGGACATCTCCCCATACAGTTCTGTCTGTGCTCTTCCACCATTCGCTTGCGCTCAGCATGAGATGTGAGCCACCAGAATGGAGAACGAGGATAATATTCGAAGCAATCCTCCGCGGGTGCTCTTCTGGACCAAGTGGAACCAAGCAGGAGCCAAAGGTGTCGCACTCTGGGTTTCAGAAATGCGGACGAGCGCCGCAAGAATGAATTCAAGAAGACCCAAGCTTGTGGGTATATCTTGCCAGGAGAAGGCGAATGCTTGAGGATTTGCTCTAGGTATATGAAGGCCTGGTAGTGATCCTTGTGTTTGCTTTCTTTCGAAACAATGTCGCACAAAGCGTTCACTATGTCACCTCCATGACGCCCCAAGTCGTACTTGCAATCACAAAGGATGCCCAAGCCCAAACGACGAGTCGAAGAAATTTGCAGCAGGGGCAGAACGTTGCGGGCCATGCAGCGCCGGCTATTTCGGTTGCCGTACACGGCAAGGCCGGCAAGCAAGCCCGCTGCCGATTCCCTCACAGCAGGTTGCAGGGTGTCAGCTACCACCTTTTGCACAAACTGCATGACGTCACTGGCCGCATACTGCAGCCATCGCTTCACACCTTCGACCAAATACTTCATGCCTGAAGGTTGAGGAAACTCTTTGGATACCGGGCCCGACTTGACCGAGTACCCTCCCAGCAAAAATATTTATCCTTGTCCCACCAAAAAGAACACAATAGCATCGAATATCAGAATCCAGGGTGCCATACTTTTGTTTGGACAAGAGCCCCGGGTTGTTCTCGCTTGGCTCAAGACCTCTTTCAAATGTGGCAAGAGCGTGGTACCTACAGGGACAATGGCAGGCAATCTAAGCCCCAACAAACATTATCGAGCCCAACCGCCTGTCAAGCCGGACTTCTTCTGCTATCTCCACTAGATGCAAGGCAAGTGCCTCCAATGCAAAGGAGAATGATTGATTTCTCGGTCACACTGGGAGGGTGGGAGATTCTGTTCGCAGCCCGTGGAAGGGCGAATTCAAGTGCGCGCGGTTTCTGAGACAACTGGAAAGTCGACTTAAAGTGTTCGTCGTCACTCCTATTATTGACGCCTATTCTTGGTATGATTTCTCATCAAGCCTTCGAGGATACGGAGTCCTTTGCTTTCAAGTGCTGGCCTTCGGCTGGTAGGCGTCGCGAGAAGTGCAACACAAGCCAAAGATGCTCCTGACCTCTGCAAAGTCAGCAAACACGTTGTTTTTTTTCATACCACAACGCTGGACAAACAAATGTCTCGGCAAGTGCGAGCCAGGACACATCAAGCAAACCAAAGAGTTCCGCGTCAATCAAATGGAAAGGGCAACTTCTGTGTTGCCCAATGTCCTGTAACTTCGACAATCAAAAGGCTTGGCAATGGGTCTTTCCACAATCCACGGAGCGAGATAGCAGCGTCCTCAAACTTCACCAGTAGGCGAGTGGGCACCTGGCGTGAAGCCGTGGGGCAATAAAAATGTTGCTGTGCACCCAAAGTCAGGTCTACAATAAAACATGCTGTGCAGAACGACTGACCAAACCTGCAATCAAGCAGGATCACAGCATTAAAAATTGGTTTTCCCACTTCAGGCCTGATCCGCGCAGGCATCCAGCCCTGCAAATCCCTGGCAAGTGCAATGAAACTGACAACACAAATGTGGTCACATGCGTGACGCTATTGATTCCGAAATTGACGACACGGGCATTACCCACTTCTCCGAAAAACCAAGCCATGCTGTGCCAATCTTTGACATGTTGACATGGCAGCAAGCCTTGCTTTCAGAGCTTTCAGTATCATTTTCCAGAGCAAACTGCTCAGGCGATGAAGTGTCACTTGCACTTGGTGCTGCTGTCGTCGGAGTACGCAAGCCAGACCTTACAGTCGCAACATGTGATTTTGGGGGTTCAATATAGAACATCTGCTTATCGGATTTTGGCCCTGCAGGTGTGCAGCAGTCGAGAGCATCTCACGATAAAATCTAAACACGCAATCTAAACACGCATTGCATCCAAGCACCTGATCTCCTGCTTTTCAACAGTGTTGGCTGAGTCCTCAAACAAAGACCCACGTTTCTATACAAACATACGTATTCGCTTCGCAAAGGATGCATGTGACAATCTTCTGAACAAATGTCAGCAGTCCAGCCTCCGCAAACAGTTCTGTCGTTTGAGTTGCAACCAACAGAGACGCATGCCTGAGACACACATCATCTTCATGTGTGAACCAGACACTGCAGTACGGTTCATGAGAAAACACTAAACAGAGGATCTACCACAAACTGCATACGAACATGGACCACAAACAATAGATTGGAAACAAATGACTGGAAACCATACACTGGAAAGCATCGGTCAAAACATCCGGAACCCACGATTTTTTCGTCACTTTCAGTCGGAATCAACAATTTTTCAAAACCAAACATTTTCCCGGTTGCAATTCGGTCTGCTTGCTTTCTCCTCTTTCACACGTCTGCAAAACTGCAGGCGGGGCGTGTCAGCAATGTGTTCATTAGTTCTCCATCCAAGCTGTGCCCAAACAGAGCGCAAGAGACCAACGCTGGGAAAGAAACAAACCTGCAACACCAGCACTTGTGTCAAAACACCTGCAAAACACCTCTCAACAAACAAATTCCACCAAGGAGCGCGGCCAAAGCTGCGTTGTTGCCACACCTCCTTTCATGGTACCGGCGGCGCCACCCAAAGCCGTCCACTCCAGAAACCTTCCTGCCACAGTGCTGGCAAAATCCGCCACCACACTTCCACACCATTGCACTGCTTGAAGTAAGCCACTTTGGGCCAAATTTTCAAGTGAAGGATTTCTGTGTTCCCCAGTTGTCAGGCAAAGGTCTTCAAATTTTCCGTTCTATATCAGTACCCCTTCCTTATGCGGCACTCCCACTTGCAGAATAGTTGGCTATCTGTCACACAAGGCTTGAACCAGGTTCCAGAAATCAAAAGTTCAGAGTGGTATGCACAGTTTTGCGGTCGTCACAAGCCTGTACCCGGTGGCAATGCAAACATGTCCTCACTTCTTTTGCCTTTTTTCTCGCAAGATCATTCATCGGCTGCTTCACCACCTCGGCGGCCAATTCGGATGCCATGAAGAACCAGAATCAACTCACGCAGTCTGTCTATCAAGTTAAAGCATTGCATGGCGCTGCCACACTGAGGTGGAGGCCAGCAGCACCAGCAGCGACGTGGCCTCAAATCTTCGCTCTCCTGCGCGGACAAACGAATTGTGAGATTGAAATGGCGAACGACGAAACAGCTGATCAACTTCTCACACCTGCGCTAATCTTCAGGGAAAAACATGTTAATTAAGCTATTGACACGTTGTTGGCTTGAATTTTGACTGGCTTTGTCTACGGTTTGAAGTCAAAAATGATTGGTGCCTCTTTTCACAAGCGATATCTCCAAATGACAAGGTGTTTGTTTCACCAACTGACGCCGTTTACGTTCGTTCACACTTTGCTCTATCAAACCTTGCCTCCGTGGGTGGCACACTGCTGGCAAGGTGTTTGTTTCACCAACTGACGCTGCTTACGTTCGTTCACACTTTGCTCTATCAAACCTTGCCTCTGTGGGTGGCACACTGCTGGCGCTCGGGGCATCCTGCGGCAGCAACTGCAATGTGGTGATCTATCTGTCTATCATGTTAATTAAGCTATTGACAGGTTGTTGACTTGAATTTTGACTGGTTTTGTCTACGGTTTGAAGTCAAAAATGACTGGTGCCTCTTTTCACAAGCGATATCTCCAAATGACAAGGTGTTTGTTTCACCAACTGACGCTGCTTACGTTCGTTCACACTTTGTTCTATCAAACCTTGCCTCCGTGGGTGGCACACTGCTGGCGCTCGGGGCATCCTGCGGCAGCAACTGCAATGTGGTGATCTATCTGTCTATCATGTTAATTAAGCTATTGACAGGTTGTTGACTTGAATTTTGACTGGTTTTGTCTACGGTTTGAAGTCAAAAATGACTGGTGCCTCTTTTCACAAGCGATATCTCCAAATGACAAGGTGTTTGTTTCACCAACTGACGCTGCTTACGTTCGTTCACACTTTGTTCTATCAAACCTTGCCTCCGTGGGTGGCACACTGCTGGCGCTCGGGGCATCCTGCGGCAGCAACTGCAATGTGGTGATCTATCTGGCATATACCCCCTGGCATATTTCTTCTTGTGTCTATGCCTGCATAGTCGATATATAGGAGCTCCGCGCCATTCAACCGTTGGAACAAATCGGATGAAAAGTAGAAAGAAGAACACTCGCGGTCGGACGACGTGTTCGGCCACTACTAATTGCAAGTGTTGACCAAAAATCAAAAAGCGAATCCCCCCCCCCCTTTCTCCGCACGACGAAGATGTGGAGTGAAAACCGGAGCTGGTTGGAGGAAAAGAGAAAACACAGAAGGAAAAGAACGAACGAAAGGGGGGAAAGGGGGAAAAAAAAAAGAAAGAAAAGAAACGAAAAGACCAAGTAAAAAAAACAAAAAAGAGAGACGACAGACAGAAAGCAAGAAAGACAGCAAAGAAAGAAGAAAGAGAAAGAGATTGAGAGCGAGACGGAGACGAGAGATGAGAGAGAGCGAGAGAGGAGGGAGAGAGAGAGACAGAAAGAAAGAAAGAAAGAAAGAGAGAGAGAGAGAGAAAGAAAGAAAGAAAGAAATAGAGAGAGAGAGAAAGAAAGACAGAGAGAGAGAGTGAAAAATTAATATGTTCTTCGAACTCACGTTTTTGAAAAGACTTCCCGCTGTCTCGCCTCGCTCACGTGTGGGTCCGCGGCGGGTCCGGCGGGCGTGGCATCCACAGCGCCGTCCTCATTGTTTAGATCAAGTTTTCAAACTATTTGCTTGGCCGTCGCACAGAGTCATTCATGTCTGTGCACGCTTACTCACCCCGCACCAGGCACGAAATTCACATGAAGACACGCAAGCCCGCAAGCGCAAAACTGGAGCGGGCACCACTACCAGAAGGATCCTATGTCCGCTGTTGGGGGCCATGTTGGATTTGAAATCGCCACTGCAAAGTGCAGCACAGAGTCTCCCCATGTAGTTTAACCATGCAATCACCACAGGACTGTTACCCAAAATCTTCCCATGTCGGCACAACTCCCACCCAGCACCAGCTAGCAGCAACAGCAGCAACGCAAATATCAGCAGAAAACACGCACCACAACAAACGATGAATGCAGCGGATCTTTGGCCCCTGTCTTGTACCCCCAGGCGACAACCAAAGAAATCCATGCAAGCGCGCCTGATCAGCGCACACGGAGTCCTCAGGCAAGTCCTCCTCAGGGCGAGCTCCTGGTGAAGGAGTCACAAAGGCATATAAACTTTAGAAAACAGCAGCACGCACCTTGATCCTGGCCACCGTCTGGAAATGCCTGGGTCAAGAAAATTCCAGCCAAAGTAAGCCAAACAATCAGCAGCCAAGGGCCAGAACAACACGAGAGCAACACCCAAAGCAACCGGCACAGGCGCCAAACCCAAACAGGCAACAGGCAAAGCCACTGGCCAAGCAACAAGCAAAGCAACAGGCCAAGCAAAAGGCACAAGAACAGGCCAAGCAACAGACCAGGCCGAGCAACAGGCCAAGCAAAAGGCAAAAGAACAGGCCAAGCAACAGGCCAAGCAACAGGCCAAGTAACAGGCAAAGGCAGCAGCAGAAGGAGCAACGAAAGCAGTTCTGCAACCAAGGTGCGGTCCACTGGCTGGCAACAAGGTCGGCCAAAAGCTCGTCCAAGTTGCCAGTGAACCTTCTCACAGCCCGCCGCCCAGGAAGGGCGTTCAGGCGCTCCCGGCAGTGCGGGCACCGAGAGACGCCCCCCTCCGGGCGGCATGTCAAAACCTAGAAAAACGCAGCAGCCAAACACCGAACCTGCCAGTCGCAATGCACAAACTCACCTTCACGAAGCATTTTTTGCACATGCGGAAATTTACAGGCTCGCGGCCCTTGCGGACGCAACACGCCGGAACACCAAGATCAGAAGACACATCAAAACAAATATCGCATGCACTCATCTTGGCCAAGGAAAACAAAAACAAACAGATTCAATTGAGCCTCCTTGCGCAAGAGAAGAAGCGAGCGTCAAAACCACGTTCAACGAATCATGCTCAAGTATCACCACCGCATCCTTGCATCACCTTTTGCCCGTGATTCAACATGTTCCGCCAGATATCTCATAGCCAGGGTCTATCAAAAACTTGGGTAGACCCAAGTCACTACCTGGGTTTCTCTCCTATTGATGCATTCACGGACAGGCCGACCTCACTTGCATAGTTCATCATATTTCATCATATATTTCATTTCATCAGATTTCTATGTTATGGACATCCAACCGTGACACAAACCAAGTTCCCTGTGGCAGCCTTTTGTTCGGTGCTTTAGCAGGTTGGATCAAACACTAATTCCATGCTTCAAGCGGCTGCCCCAAGCAGTGCTTGGGAGCCTGGTCTTCTATGGCTCTGTTTCGATGATCCGCGGCACCCGGCGGAACTCCCTTGATGAGATGTCACACGATATCACATGATGTCACTTATGCTTATGTCTGATGTCATCTGATGTCTTAAACATGATTAACTGATGATGTTCGAACTTCGGCTACCATCCAAGGAATGTGACCTCGGCCCCTCAGTAGAATATCTTGGCTGAAAGCTTCAGCTGGGCGGACACCGATGCCTCAGACTCCAGGGGAAAGGGGGAAAAAACATGGAAACCCATGGAATTGATGGTGGAATTATGGCAGAATCATGTGTCTTTCGATGCTTCAATTTGCGCGCAATTGATGATGTACAACCATGCCTCGCTTCAAAACTGTGTGGAATATGGTGAAACCATCAGCTATTCATGGCTCTTGTATCGGAGAAGAGACACAACAAGTCCTGACATGTGACAGGTGACCAGACCACGTCTGCTTTCAACCCTCCTGCCTGCTTGGTGGTCTCTCCTTCATCATCCAAATCCTCCAGCAAACCTGTCACTTGAACCAGCTGAACCAGCTGTCAAGGTGAGAAATCCAAAAGTTTTCCAGTTTCCACCCAGCAAAAGGAACATTCACCGAGAACACCATCCTAAATTCATCAATGATGAAATAACATATGAAATAACTCCAAATAGCAAATATCCCCCAGATAGCAAATTGCATCCAAACCGAGAAAATGGAGAGATCCATCCCTTCTCATCCCCGAACCCCCCACCTGAGAGCTTCTGGAGTTCCTCCTGCTGCCCCGCCGTCATACGTGCGTTGCTGGGCGTGGAACCTGCCAATGTCTGGAAGGGCAAAACTTCCGAAAATCATGAGCTGAGTAAGGAATGCGGAGAAAAGGAACAGCTTCTTACTTTGGATCAAAAATCAACAAAAAATTAGGGAGATGATCCAAATCCCTATGAATAAAGTCCTTGTCTGATACGGCGCCCATCATCAACCCTCAAGGATTGTTTTTTATAGTGGCTGCAACAGAAGGGGGTCAACATCCTTTATAGATCTGCGTAGTTCAAGACTGGAACAGAGCTTCAAAAATACAACCTCCTGTTCACAGAAGACTGCACAAAAACCCAGGAAGACATGTAACCAGCAAGCAGCATGCCCTTCAAGTATCTTCAATTGGCACATAAAATGTTATTCGCCCCTGATGCCATGATGGGATCCTCCACCGAATTCGTACAGAAGTTCCACCTTTCTTCAAAGCGGTAGATCCCTCCGCTGCTTGGGACTGTTTTCCTGAGATTTTGGACGGCTCTGGGGGCGATGTGAGTTCTGAGGAGCATCACCCTGTAGAAACGATGCCATTCGTGCCCCAAGTGGTTGCTGCTTTGATCACGATCATATTCCGGTATTGTTGCTTATACTATTTGATAATCACATCCCAAACAATTGCAGCCTCATATAAACTGAATCATCTAAAATCATAATTCATAACACGGTACCCCCACTGCTTGGCTAATGTCTTCTTGAAAGTTCATCAAGACTTCAGAAGAACTCAGCCAGTTTCAGCGCCCAGCTGCAGCTCCCCGCATCATCTGAAAGAATTCCTCGAAGTCGATGTTGCCGTCCTCAGACCTCAGACGGGAAATCTGCATCGCTGTATGGCACAGGCCACGAGAGCAGTGGATAGAAAGAAATCAGGGGCAAACCGCCTGGGAAAACGGAAGATCAACATTTTTGATGTCTAAGTTCTGAGACACGCCTGCCTACCTGCCTACAGTACCAAAAGTGTGGCTAACTGGCATAGCTCTCACTGACCAGTTACCACACCCACTGGGTCGACCCGATTAGTTCTGGTCCACTTGCATGAAAAATCATGAAAATGGAATAGGCATTGCCAATTGCAGAACCTGTGGAGCGCACTCCAACATCCCCCACCACACTATCCAGCAGAGACTGCTGAAAATCATAACATTCCAAGTATAAATTCAGATCCCCTTCTTCCAACTGCCACTTTTTGTAAAAGTTTCCCCAATCCTGAGCCCCCACACTGTCTTTCCGGTTCATGGCCTCTGCCACATCGGCATCGCAGCCTCGGGGGACCACAGCGTCTGCTCATTCGGAAAGAAAAACGCTTTGCTGTCACATCGTCACTAGCAGGCGTGAGGAAGCGGATTGTGTTCCGCGTTCTGATACATTTTGTCATACATGTTCTTATTGAATGTGTGTGGTGGTTTCTTTGAGGTGGGAAATTGACTCAACATTTGTTTGATGAAAGATAACTATAGAGTGGGCTGAGCGGGGCGCAGTTCCAGTGGGGCCATGCTCATTGGCAGTCGTTTGTCTTAAAGGGCGGACCCACAGCCCGACATGCCGCCTGGCCTGAACATCCTGGCCGTCCGGGGATTCGGTGAAGCAGGTGAAGCGGATGACTTCGGAGCCTGCAGACTGTCACAATCGCATGAACCTCAATCATTTTTTGGTTTTAGGTTTAGGCTGCCTGTGGTCTTTCTCTTCTTTCTATAGACTGAGGACTACTTACAGGTTACAAGTACAATACATGCCAAAGCCATTTGCCTTTCTTTGGGGTGAGACCCATCACACCTCGAAGAGAATGCATTTAATGTAGCTGGGCATCTTCATGGCGGCCTGGCGAAGGCAGGGCACAGGAACTGCTGATCTGACCTGCATTCCAAGGTTTGAACTCAGCTGATCAGCCATGGTAAGAAGGACACAGTAGCCAGAAGCTACACACTTTTGGCACCGGCTCAACAAAGCCAGCATGCAAAGCCGCTGCGTCTGCAATTTGCTTGGGAGAACTTGGGATCATTGGAGGATGGTTACAGGCCCTTCTGGCCTTTCCAAGCTCTCTAAGTTGAGTTAATGTCTGTTCTGCATGCAAAAAGGGAGCCTGACTCAGGTCCAGGCACTGCAAATTTTTAAGGCAGGGCAGAAATCCCTTGAAGACTTCAGCACTATGACAGCCTAGGCACCCTAGGCTTTTGACTTGGGCGGAATTGCCTCGATTACCTGCAAGGTAATGACGGTGGTCTTCTCATCTCTTCTGGCAAAGTCTGTCCACCCCGACTTTAATTTCATATGGGTAATCACTTCCTCCACATCACCGTAGGTTGCCTTGTACTTAAACTGCCACCTTTCAGGCGCAGAAATGAACAGGGACATGTACCCTTCTTTGGCGTCCTGGGTCCCCTCTGGATACAAGGTCAGCTGCAAAGGCACGCCGGACAGCGTGAACTTCTTCGATTTGACACCCTGGCCCTTTTTCAATGTCAGGCCCTTCATGCTGTCGAGAAAGTTCCACACAAAAGGGACAGACTTCTCGTGGGTCCCTTGTGCAGGTGAGGAGCTGGTCTGAGAGGGTTGAGTTTTCCCAGCTGTCACCTCATCTGTCTTCGCATCGGCTGTGGTTTGACGCTTTTCGGACTGCATCCTCCGCTCACTCAGCTTCTGGACTGGTGGACCTGCAGGTTGCAGACTCCTGAGCTCTGCCTGCCAGCAATGCCATGGGAACCAAACTACAAAATTCGAGAAAGATCAAAGATTCAAAGACCATCTTAGGCTTGCAGAAACAAAGCATCATTCATTTTGCAGAAAAAATGATATGAAGGAGTCCCATATCACCATGCCACTCACCTTGAAGTCGGACAAGGCGTTGATCTTCTCTGCCAAATATTTCCGTTTTTTAGCCACGGCTTCATCCTCTGCAAAGAGCTCATGCAGTGTGCTTCCACTCAGCTTGTCCATCCAATCCCCCTCCAGCTTGTCCGCCAGCTTGTGCACCATATTGGACTTGATAAGTTTCGCCGACGTCTCAACAAAGCACTCAATCATGAACTCGGTGTAGACATACAAGGAAGCACAAATCTGGACGACAGCATCTTTTTGCTTCTCGTCCATGGATTCCTTGACTAAGGTGTGGAACTTTTCAGGAAGTTCGTGCCCCTTTGCTCCCAAAAGAGCTGTCGCAAGATTCTTGTATCCATCTTCAGTGGACCCCTGCGACAAAGACTTCAAAGAGTTTTGAAACTTCGTCATCCTCGCCATGAATTCCTCGTTTTCGGTCGAGGTTACTTCCTGAGCCTCAGCCAACCTGTCACAAGTTGATTGGGCTTCTGCTGTGACTTGGTCAATGCAGTCCTGTGCCGTTGCATCCAGCCGTTGAGGAAGGATGCCATTCATGCTTGCATGTTTTTGAATGACATGAAACACAACATGTCGAAGGTGCTCCCCTACATCCCTGACCACCATGTGGACAGAGTCTTTCAACAATTCTTCTTCGATGAAGGCCTTCTTGATGAGGTTGATGAAAATGTGGGAATGAGGGCCTGTCATGTTGTCCACCGTGTAGCCTTTCTTATTCTCTTGCATATGGGACACCTCACCAATCATGGCTTCTTCCAACCACTTCGGATTTCGGGACTGCAACTCCTTCTTGAACTTCTTGATCTTGGAATCAACAACTCGGGTGATTGTGTAGTTTCTGACAAAATTCTCTCCTTTGATTCCTTCCTCCAAATCCTTTCTGATTCGGGAGACAATCCTCTGGAACTCGCGGAACTGGCTTTTCTCGTCGGCGGGAGGAGGAGGCAATTCGCACAAACGCCTCTGCAATTCCGTAGTGGTCTTTCGTACAGCTTCATTAATCTTCGGAAGGTGTGCATCTACACGGTGTTCTTGAAGCTTGGCGATTTTTTCCGTCAAGGCCAACGTGCCCCAGTTCTCTTTAGGCAACCTCTTCATGCGGTCACTCTCCGAAAAAACTTTTCTCCCTTTTTCCAAAAGATCTTCACGACTCATGCCCTCATCAATGTCCTTCTGCGAGCGATTCACGACACAATGAAAGCCGAGCTCAAGCCTCACATCATCTGTTCTTTCCATCAAGACCTGCAAAAGACTGGAAAAGATGCAGAGTCCATGACAAGATCTGAACAATATATGCAGAGCATATGGACCGAATGTCCCAATAGAAATGCTGAACCAAGCTTTTTGAGGAACCCACACAAAGCCAAGACCTTCAATCCTGCCCGCGGATAAAAACTTGAGCCTTCTCAACAATATCGGAAGATTCCGTCTTGGCAACATCATCGCACTTAGTGACGACACCCAAGGTGCGCTCGCCATCTGGATCATATTTTTTCGCCAACTCTACAACCTTCAAGGCTCAACCGAGATGATGCTTGGGCTCTCGGAGCTCTCTATGGTACACCAATCATGATGAAGTCACTTTCTAATCTGTGAAGTCTCCTCTCCTGAAAGCATGTTCGTTTCAGTGAAAGCAGAAAGCATAGACAGCAGCCCACCTCAGCGTTGCCGAAGTCGTTCGAGGCAGGGATCACACAAAGAATCACCATCTCTTCCGGTTTGATGTAGTTCTCCACCAATTTGACAGTGACCTGACGCTCGAGTAAAAAACAATTACAATGAACCTGGATTGTTCAACTCAGGGTCAGTGGCTAAACCAGCAGGCCTGAAATCAGGAAATATCAAATAAACGTCCTGCAAAGGACAGATTTGCTTGTGATCCTTGAAATTTTGCACACTGGACCCAGCCTCATGAATTTTGGTCATCTTACTCGAGTTGTGCGTGATGCCAGGAAGATCAATGAGACTCAGCTGGGGCCCTTCTCTGCGAACCACTGAAATGTACATGGCCTAGCCAAAGTCAAAAGGATCAAAACGAACCAAACACATCACGATCATGCATTCTTGTGTGTGGTCGCACTTGTGTGTTTGCGTGTCAAGTATCAAACATCCATGCAGCATTGTTGTGCATCAAATATAGAAGCGTGGACAAACTGCCTTGGCATTAGAGAAAGCGCAACCTATGGACAAAACAAGGAGCCTGGCTTGAGATGAACTGGTCGCCCGTAGCATGTTTCTCGGTGAGAGCCTTGATTTGCTCCTCGACTTCTGGTATGGAACATCTCTTCACCTGGGCTTTACACACAAGCTCTACACCAGACCTACTCTGCCAATCACAGGAATCTCCGTCTGAAAAAGGTCTTGAATCAACTGTGGGTTGGAATCACATTGATACAGTATGTCTAAAGCCAAGAAAGAAAACACCACACACAAAGCCAAGAGTACTGTATCAAGTCAGCCAGCCAAAGGAACGTTTTCAAAATTGGGGTCCATGGAGACCATCGCATAGGACTCTTCCACTGCAGGATCTGTAAGCAACGTCAAAACACAGGGCATCCTTGTACATGTGTTCTGCGCCCGGGGAAACTGAATCCCGGAGATGTTTTCCAACAACGACGATTTCCCGGCAGATTGCTCTCCCACCACCACGACCCCAGGAATCGGAATTGATTCTGATTGGCAAACGTGGCGGACCCGTTCGAATAAGCCCAGCTTCTTCGAAACCTGGGCCATTGCGTTGCTAAGGGATTGCTCTGCAAGTTGGTCCACAGGAGGCATTTTGTCTGAGACCTCAGATCGTCCAGTCGCAGTGTAAGAACTGTTGCGATGAGCAAGCTATCTTTCATCCTGCATACTGCACACCTTAGAGTTGCGACATAACAAGCTAGGCCTGATACTGGCAAAGCATTGACTCTGTTTCCCTGCTGCGAAGGCTGCTTCTCTCCAAGCCCCTCTCCAGGCGGGTCGTTAGGCAAAATCCCGCTTGCCTAAGACTGCGGCAGTGTGCACAAGCCATTTTGCGTTTGGATGCTTCTGGCGTTACTCCGAGTTGTGAGAACACATGCTGGGACCAAGACTGGGAAAAGGTTGTTCGGCATGATCGGCATGGTTGAGCCATTTGGGCTCACGCTGCTGAGCATCCTGCAAGCAGCGTTCATTCTTCGAAGGCTCGAACCGGCTCTAACTTAAATGCAATGTTTGATTCACTATTTCAACAATTATTCCTCAAAAATCCCGAAATAACAAAGCAATGTCCTTGCCACATCACCACCATGGCGAGACAACGAAGCTAGCACACGCATGCGTTTGCCTGGGGGCGGAAGCAAACACATGGCAACGTACCAAATCTGAATGAATTTCAGCTGAAGAATGCTGAAACCTGGCCTAGCTGTTTCCCGATGATGCTTGGGCAGTTTGTACACATTTTCGACAGCATCGACGGCGTCGGACGAGGACTGCGAAGAAGTATGCGCTCAAGGCTGCCACGTCAGGATGCAGAACTTGAGCCGCCAAGAATGCAGAGAATGCAGAACAGCTGCTTAAAACGCACAAAAAATCAATTTGATAAAAACAACAAAGCGTCGAATTGCCGCAAGAATTGATGTCGAAAGTTAGAAAGCCGTAGTCTAATGTCGCAGATTCACTCTCAAGAAAGTCCTGCCATGCCCCACAATATTGCATTATAATTGCATTTCAAGCTGGCAGTGCGCTTGGCAAAGTTCTGCACACCCAAAACATGAACGCTTCGGCTCACTGCTGGAGGCACCATCGTGCAGATGAGGTCGTTGAGCACGAGACCTAAGATTTTAACTACATCCACTAGCGATTCCTGTATTGCTTGATCAGTTGCTCCCAGCTACAGCTCCGCTACTTTTGATTCATTGCAAGAGAAGAAGTTATATAATTATTGGATACTACATACCCGCAGAATCAAAAAAGGATCAAATCAATCGCAAGGCTCTACTGGCAACCAAGGCACAAGGCGCCATCGGTGCAGCCATGGGGATCTTCTGAAGCGCCTGGCGGCTGGTAGTGAAAAGGTGGGAAATGGGTCCCCAGGGTCGCCCCTTAAGGCTTGGGACTTGTTTCAAGACTGGGAAAATCCAACATCAGACTACACGTCAGATGCATCCCTGATGTTTTTCCAGCATTGGAAAACGGATCGAGTCCAGCGAGTCCAGCCATCCCTGGAGCCTGGACACAGCCTTTGCCATCCGCCAAGACGCCCTTCCAGTGTTTCCCTTCAGTGACCTTAGGACCAGAAGACCTTGTGAAGCCCGTGATCCTAGAGACTGAGCCAAAGCCACTGGAGATTGAAAAGAACCAACCAAAATGGAAGTCTGAGCTCTGGATCCGTGGGTCCCAGCTATGAAGCCTGTGGCTCCCCACGAAGTTGGCCGTCTTCACTTTCTGCGCCTCGGAAAAGTGTGGCAGGAATGGAAGCCACTGGTTGTCTTGTCGCTCTTTTGTTGCGACCCATTAGTTGGGGCTCACGGGAATAGAAGGGATCCCCTAGACTTCACGGATAGCTTGGAAAAAGGGTTCATTGGGGATTCCAGATTTCTTTGTGATGATTTGACCACTCGACACTCGACAATCAACCCCGGAAATTCCTCAAAGTGCCCAGCTACGATGGTCAAACCTCCTGCCCCCTGGTCCCCACCGTCCACCTGCTCCACAGTTTTGCCCGTGAAGGGATGCTTCCCCGAGAGCAAGAGATAGGCAATGACCCCGATGCTCCAAGTCTCAGTCGGCAACATGCAAATGCCGACCGGTGTCGCTGACATTCGGATGTCCATTCACATGCTATAGATAGCACTACTTCCTCGCGAGGTTTCGAAACGGTGGAAACTGGTCCCGGAACACCACGGCCGCACCGAGCCCCGTGCGTTCAGAAGGCTATTGGCTTAGTGTGGATATACTCAAGAGTTCTTTGATGGGGGTCATTCCATTGTATAGAGTGTGTATATTATACATACATATATATATATATGTACATGTAGTTGAAATTCACATGATTTTCAGGCTGACCCCAACATGGACAACCAGGCTTTGCTAATGCAGGCTTGAACATTACAGTACCATTGGGTATGACTCAAGATTGTATACCTCAAAAGATTGAATAGCTTAAATATATGTTTACTTGCTTCACTTGGTAAGAATACAGGAAAAGCAGTGCAAAAAATGTAGTTCCATGGTTCCATACGTACCCATATTAGGGCCAGTGATGAACTGCTTCTGAAATCTTCTTGTATAGCTCGTGGTCTTCTCGTTTGGCTAGGTCACGTTGAGGGTTGCTGGATGCTTTTTTGTGGTCGACCATTTGGGTGGCCAATATCCCTGACACATGGATATCAGTCGAAATACACAAAATTGGACACCCAAAAACCTTGGATGATTGGTACATTTGATACAAGAGAAAACCAAGGATTTGGGAATGGTGGCTTTCTGCATGTTGAATTTTGACGTGTTTGATCCATGGTCACAGCCAAGTTTTGCCTACCCACACTCCAGGCCTCAGGCGCCACCCAGTTCGCGGTGCCTGCCTGTGGACACCGGGCATGAAAGTGTGCTTAACCCCAACAGCCCCAACAGCATAAAGCAAATATGACATAGCTTTGAAAAGCAACTACCAGGTGTGAGGACTTTACTACCAAAGTGCCACCCACTGAAACAGACCCTGGACCTTGGTGCGAACTTGCTGGATGGAAGCGCCTGAGTATCAAGCTCACCAGCTGGAACCCATCATCCCTAAGCATCGAAAAATACTTAAGATTACTTAAGTGCGGTTCAACTTGGGTAAGTCCCTTAAAAAATAATACCTAGGTGTTTTAGGACATGAAGACCTCGCGCAAAAACACGCCATGGCCAATATCTTGCAAACTCATTCTGGCAGATTCCATGTGAGATTGGAAGAGGGGGTGGCCCGGGATGGTCGTTTCATTTGGGGGCCACCAAAACACCAACCAGCGGCTCTCACAGGGCCATGCCTCATCGGTGGCTAGCAGAAAATTCTCGGGCTTCAAATCCTGCAACGGCACCTTGACAAATGGAGAGCTGATGTGGACGCAGATTGACACCAAATAAATCCTGTTCATTGGTGTGTCAACGGGTCAATAAGCTGCATCTAATATCATTGAAATGCGGTGAAAATTACAAGCCTTTCACCTTGGAACCTGTTCCCCAAAAGCATGTTCAGCTTCCCCAAAGGTCTGCTTTGTCTTGGCAAAGGGTGTTCCGGAGAAAACCAGGCAGCCCAGACCCGATTCATGATGTTGTTCCTTAGCGCAGATGGACTGCACGAAGAAGTGAAAGTCCGAGCAATTTGGAACCACAATGGGCCCTGCAAAATACACATGGAATCATTTGCCTATAGATCATATAGTATTTGATGGAGATTGTAGTTCCCAATTTGCACGTAGAAGCTCACTGTCAGTCAAAACACCCTTCCAAAATTCGCTCAAAATTGATCATGCTGGTGTGCGCTGGTTTGACAGTCTTTTGATGTCTTTTGGGCCTCTTTGACAGTTTTTGCAGCCTTTTTGCGCACGATTTCTCTCCATATTTTTCACTGGATCTTGCTACATCTGACTGAAGTACATCGGGGCATACTATGGCATACGGCATATTGGTATCATGGTAGGAGACCCTAGAAATTTATCTCTCCGAAGTGAAAGCTCAATCCCAGGTCCGCAGACATGCGCAAATAGTTGATGGCCCGCAGCATGTCACACAGCCTTGCCACAGGGAAAGGTCTGTGATTTCTGGTTGGGATGATCTGGGATGGTCGAAAATTTGCGGAACCCTAGTGACAATTACCATCACAAAAGAAAGGTAGTCTGAGGCCAACCCCCTCAGCACGACCGAGAACCATTTCTACTGACTCACGGCCTGCTGCTTGTCTCTCCGTAATGGATCCATCCGCAGAGACGCGGTCAATCAACTCACCTGCCAGAGTGGAGCAAGTCCCCAGAAAGATCCATTAGCATCCACGGAGATCCCCACCCATTGGAAGCGGCATCTTGTGTTCTGCCCAGCATCGAGTCTGATGGACCCATCCCCACCTCCTTCACAAAGTTCCAGGACTAGCTGTAGCAAGCAGTGGTCCTAGCGCGGAATCACCGTGACTTCCATGCGGCTTGGAAAGAAAGACTATCCTGCTAGTCGAAGTGTTGACGGTTTTTGTTGGGTGTCTCTTCATTATATTGTTGTTGGTCAATCTATATGCCAATTCTGATTGCTGAATCTCACCATTTTGGCCAAGATTTCATTGCAATCCAACTCCGACCATTTCGCTCCTCAAAGCTCTCTTGGAAGCGCACAATGTTGGGATGATCCTGCAGCGGGGTTACATCCCTGATCAAGCCATCAGGTGCCCAAATTTTGAACAGTCATGATTCAGACTGGCCAAACATCTGTTGGATTGGGTAATTTATGTACTGTATATTTATATTTATGTCATATAAGAATACGTGTCATTATTTACCCAAGAGGCGAACAGCTGCAAATAATGATCCTCCAGCCATATAATCCGTTCTTCATAGTTGTTCCCATCTACCAGTCATGTGTTGGGGGATGCATTTACATTCATACACATGTTTATCACCTTTTTCCAAAAAGCATTGCAAAATATGGTGGAGTGCCATTGAAAACAGCATAACAATTCGATTCCATCATGAATTATACTACCATTATCTACCCTTGTACTTATCTAATCTTATTTAATTACCCAATTTTATCCATTCGCAACATCTTCCTCGTGAGCGCTCCAGGAGTCGCATGATGTCGATCTCTTCTTTCAGCTTCTCGGGTTCTTGGACCTCAACTGTCGCAGCTGGGAAGAAGTCATCAAGTTGGGACCAGGTAGCCTGGGCTGCTCAAAAAAAAACATGGAAGCTGAAACCAATCGGGCCTAAGATTAGGATGTTCTCTTGTACACTTAAGTATACTACTGACTATCGACAACTGCGCGTTTTGGCACGTCTGTCTGCAGGTTCGAGACTCTTTGACGTCCCGTTCAAAGTTGAAAGGACTGGCTGAAAGCGGTCACATCAAGCTGTCAGAGCCGGTACTGAGCCCCTGAGATCATGACCCCCTTCTTCCTGATGGTCTTGATGGCATAGAAGCGACCCGTGTGCTTATCCCTGGCCATGGTATGGAAAAGTCTGGCACTAGAGCTTCTCAAGACAAGTGCATCTAGGCGTACGCGTCTCATACTATGACGCGAACAATTTGCTTGGGCACCACCAAGAACTTCCTTTTCAAACATCGGGGACCATTCACTTGCCATCCAAATGCCGACTAACTCCCATGATACATGATACGGGTCAAACCGGCCAAGCCAGTCAAGCCTTCCCTTCCGCACAGCGCCAGAGCCACCCTCGCCCAGTTTGTGTTTTTCGATTTCGTAGAAGTCCTGACAAAGAGATGTTGGTCCCTGGACCCCAGATTACCATGGGATTGGCTGAGTACAAGGTTCCACGACGTGCAAAAATGCCAAT